TACAGAGAAATGTCTGAAGTTACATGTCTTTTGAGCACTGCAGCAATACAGCCAGTGATCTAAAGAGGTGGTGGGCTATTGTTTTCTGGAGGACGTCAAGGAGAAAACGGACTTCTGGAAATGCCCCAGCTATGGATTTTCCATACTGAGTAAAAGATTTGGTTGGGCAGTGGAGTCAGGATCAGAGAATGTAGCCCTTCTGTAAGGGATTCTGTGATGTAATCCCCAGAAAGTGGCCTGAAAGTTGCCACTGAATTTTAATTTTTAATAAAGCAGAAGAGGAAATGTGTTAAATACACTGGGAGTAATCATATTAATTGTTCTTAATTAAGTTGATGATTCATTAGAATTGAATAAGAATCCCATTTAAATAAGCTTAAATGGAAAAAGTAAATGCAATTCAGATTTTATCCTGGCCATCTTCACTTGTTTTTTTGCAGGTTAAGGGAAAAAATGTTCAAGGGGGAACATTTTTTTGGTACCCAAAACGGGCCCCGAACCTTCTTGGTTTTACTTGGTTTTCCCTCCAATTGTGGGGTGTTATGATAATACGTTCATCACCCACAGATAAGGATGTTAATATGTGGAGCCCTGATCTAAGATTTCCCATAGGAACTGGACATCTTTGTCTTAAGGTAGAAGGTAATCTCTTGGGGGCAGTGTGTATGTGAGCTTGGTGGTTTTCTTGCAGATGTTTTATTACCAAACTAGGTAACGTTATCCGTGCTAGCAGGTAGCATTGATGGTGTTGCCTAGTTTGGTAATGAAAACAACCAAGCTCAGAGAGCACCAAGGATTCCACAGTTCAACCTCAAGCTACAAATATTCTTTTCTATCTGAACAGGGAGTGTAGAATGCTTGGTCTTTGACAGTGGTATGCTGGCTCTGAGTACCCAGGACTCTGGGAAAAGCTGCCTGTTTTCCTTCCATTTATTCAATTGATTTAATACAGGGGTGTCCAACCTTGGCAACTTTAAGCCTGGAGGACTTCAACTCCCAGAATGCCCCAGCCAGCTTTGCTGGCTGGGGCATTCTGGGAGTTGAAGTCCTCCAGGCTTAAAGTTGCCAAGGTTGGACACCCCTGATTTAATATGATCATTCTCCAGCCATGTTTGGAATGATTTCCCCCCTTCTATCCCGTTAAATAACAACCTGGTGTCCACAATGGGAAGTCTGGATGCTGCATTCAAGGCCTTTGAAACTGTTGCTTCTCTGGAACTTAAATTACATCCTTCTGGCCTAAAGCGGGCGACACGGTGGTTCATTGGTTAAGACACTGGGCTTTTTGGCTGGAAAGCCGGCAGCTCAGGTTTGAGACCCAAGCGCCACTCAATGGGGTGAGTCACTCTCATCCTCGCTCCAGCTTCTACCAAACTAGCAGTTCGAAAGCATGCAAAAGCGAGTAGATAAATAGGTACCACTTTGGTGGGAAGGTAACCGTACTCCGTGATATCATGCTGGCCACATGACTGCAGCAATGTCTTCAGACAGCTCTGGCTCTGTGGCCTTGGAACAGAGATGAGCACCACCCCCTATAGTTTGCAGGCATGATATTCTTCCGATTAAAATCGGAATTCCGATTTTTTTGGGAATCCCCCCACCCCTTTCCCCCCACCCCTTCTTCTCCTCCTTCCCCTCCCCTCGGAGGCCCCGAGTCAGGAGTTGCTGGCGCAGCTCCGCGCGGCTCCAGTCCCGCGTTGCCTCAGGAAGGGAAAGGCAAAAAGGAAGAGCCGCGGCGGCGCTTTGCAACGGCAGCAGCGGCTCCTGGTTTTGCCTTTCCCTTCCCGAGGCAACGCGGCACTGGAGCTGCGCCGGCGGTAGCAACTCCTGACAGCCCCAGCCGGATACCTGAGCGAGCCCGGGCGGTGCGAGCGGAGGCCGCTGAGCGGCAGGAAAAGGGAGCTGGGCCAGCCACAGACCAGCCTCCGTGCAACACGCCACCGCCCGGCCCTGGCGAGGGAAAGCAGCGGGCGCTCCCCGGGCGCGTGGCGGGGGGTCTCTTTTGGCCGGCCCCGATTTTTTTTTCAGAGCGGAATATCATGCCTGAGTTTGGCAGACCCCTGCCATAAATGTCAGGAAGATGGTTTTGTTGATTCCATATTCATTGACCAGATATTTTATCTGCAATGCCCTCCATAAGGGGCTACACTGCATGTCCCAAAATCCATAATTAACATGCTGCCTGAGAGTTCTGAATCCTAAAGGCTCAGGACACAGATTGGAGAAGGATCTTCTCATCCATCCATGGCAGTCCAAGACCCAAGGCTACCTACAGCTCCAGGAGCACCTTCAAACCAGCCTTGCTGAAAATCAAAGGTGGGTTTCCTTGCTGTTTTAAGGCAGGAAACACCCACAAACTGCAGTATGTGTTCGTAAATTTATGTTTAAATTCAAATTTAAGAAAATGAAACGTAGGAATGCCCCCAAATCCTCCTGCAATACCTGTTTTGTATAATTGTCTTCATCCCAGAGGATACTTAGAGAACAAAAGGGCAATGCATATTCCCCCAATTTTTCACCTTCAGTACCCTGTAGGATAGAAAGGGCTGAGGAAGAAGGACTGACCCAAATTTATTCAGTGAATTTTCAGTGAGTGAAAATAGACTTGGACTTCCCCACTCTTGATCCAACATCTTCTCTGCTATACCACTAGCTGGTTCTCTCAGAATACTCAATGAGAAAGAGCTACTAAACACGTGGCCTTTTCTTCCTTGGCAGATGAGGATGATGCAAACCGGTTGGGCGAGAAGGTGATTCTCCGAGAGCAAGTGAAAGAGCTGTTCAATGAAAAATACGGTGGGTTGCTCTATTTTGAGTGCGTAGGACTTGACCATCTTGTAGGGGTTGGTTCCACAGCTGGAAATTCTGGGTCCAGGGTTCAGAGGCCAAGAAGCAGATCTCTCAATCTGAATTTCTCGTTCCTTGATCCCCATCGTGGCTGGCTAGTCACTATGTCTCAGCTTCATGTGTTCCACAGGGCTCTTCTGAGACTTAGAACAGAATAGAATAACAGAGTTGGAAGGGAACTTGGAGGTCTTCTAGACCAACCCCCTGCTTAGGTAGGAAACCCTACACCACTTCAGACAAATGGTTATTCAACATCTTTTTAAAAACTTCCAGTGTTGGAGTATTTACAACTTCTTCGAGGCAAGTTGTTCCACTGATTAATTGTTCTAACTGTCAGGAAATTTGTCCTTAGTTCTAACCTAATGCAAAAGCTTCTGAAGACGAAAGCTATTAATATTGCCTTGAACTCTATGATTGATAGTCAGAGTGCAAATCATACACATGAAGTCCTCATTTACCAACCATAATTAGGACAAGCAACTGTGTCACTAAATGCTACAGCTGCTAAGCGAAAAGTCGCAAAAGCACACTGGACTTACCACATCACTTCCAATTTCCTCTATAAAACAAATCACGGTTGTTAAGCGAGACATCACGTGGCCCCGACTTGCAAGTCCACTTCCACATTCTCCATTCATTCTGCTGGTTGGAAGTGGATTGCATGACCATTGCAACAGCGCAAAGGCTGCAAAAGCGAGGATTGGCTGCAATGTTGGGTTTTGTTCAACCAGTTGTAGCTTCAAGCTTCAAACACAGCAGTCATTAAATGAGGACTACCTGTAAAGAACAGCATTTGTTCGTGGTTTGTTGTGTTCTATAAATACTCCTGGGGAGAAGATAGATGTAAATCTTTCATTCCTTCCAACACAATTCTTGTTGAAATTCTGTGACCTATTTTAGTGGGAGGTGGGGAGGGGGAGAAACTTCTCAAATCCCATATTTTGACAATGTGCTTAACCAGCTCAGTTAAAAATCTAGTGGATGCTTTGGCACCATCAATTTAACTTTAATATTCCTACACTTGGGCAATGGTTATCTGAAACTTTGTGGAAACCCAGCCTATTCTGTTAGTTTAGGGTTCAGCGTACAGATAGTTCTCGACTTAAAACCATTTGTTTAGTGACCGTTCAAAGTTACTGGACTTTCTGGCTTTTTCTTTTTCCTTTGAAGACATTTCGCTTCTCATCCAAGAAGCTTCTTCAGAGCTGAAGAAACTTCTTGGCTGAGAAGCAAAATGTCTTCAAAGAAAAAGAAAAAGCCAGAAAGTCATTTGCCTCTTCAAAAAAGCATCTTTGGGACAACTGTGGATGACTGAGAATCTCCACAGACATTTACGAATAAGATTGAGAAACAAGGTGGGCTTCCTCTGTTTTGTGATGGGATAGTGGAATTTTTTGTTTTCGTTTCAGGGGAAGCTTTAGGCCTGAACCGGCCTGTTCTGGTACCCTACAAACTGATCAGAGACACACCTGATGCCATCGAAGTGACCGGTTTGCCGGATGATATCCCGTTTCGGAATCCCAATACTTACGACATCCATCGGCTAGAGAAGATTCTGAAAGCACGTGACCGGATCCGGATGGCAATTACTAGCCAGCTCCAGTACGATTCCGTTCCCAGCCTTCCTTTTAATTTTATATATTTACTTATTGCAATTATTTCTATGCTGTTTTAATCCATCTGTAAAGCCACAGTGCCATCTGCTGGCATTAATATGTAATTACACAATTCATTGGATCAACCTCCCCCCCAAATCAGAACCTTCCAAGATAGCAGTTTCTGGAATCCCACCAAAGAGAGTTATGAGATTGCTGTGCCAAAATATTTGCCAAAGGTTACATTAGCAAAAGTAAGAAATTTAATATTTAAATCTGCCATTGTACCAGCAGACCATTTATCTATCTAACCTGAGTAGCATAGTACAGAGCTACTATGCTTGGCAATTCATTCTTCAGAGATTGAACTGAGGCCTGTTGTGGCTCGATGGCGGCTAGTGGAGCTGGCAGCAGGGTCGGGACAGCGAGGTGGTTGGGGAGGAACATGGGCCAGTCCTGGAGGCTGAGGAAGTCTCAGGCGAGGGCTCCGCGTCAGAGGCAGAGACGGGGCCAGGGCAGGCTGGCAGTCATCAACTTCCTTCAGAGTCGGACAACAGTGAGGCGGGGGAGCAGCTGGAGCCAGTTCCCAGCCTGCGCATGCACAGAGCTGCCAAAAGAAAAAAACAATTACGAACTAAGGGTCGACGTGGGAGTAAGGCCACAGGTGAACGGTGAACGGCCCCTCCCACAGGGATTAAAAGAGGAGCAAAGGGGGAGGGGGCTTTTGCAGGAAACAATTTGTTCGTTGCAGCAGTGTGAAGATCTGTCTATGCATCACACAGACTCTGTGCCAAGCCCTTCCTTGTCAGCACTGCATTTGAAAATATTTACTTGGCAGCTCTCCAGGCTAAATAAAGTCTATGCTCCTAATTAGACCCTTGAAAGCCTGTTTGCCAGGCCTTTGGCTGAATGTGAATGCAAAAAATCCACCTTCGTTTAATAAAAGGGATTTTGCCGGAACAAAAAGTCTGCTTAGTGCTTTTTGGGGACGCCGAGATCAGAACAAGTTCTGTTTCCATTACCTGCTCCTTAAAGCTCTTTTCAGTTTCAATATTGTGATCTGAATCCAGAACCATCCGCATATTACCAATGTTAGAACTCTCTCGGCTGAGCCAAGCTACCTAAATAGTGTCTCACACACAGAATCCTTGAGTTGGAAGGAACCATTCTGCCCACCCCCCATCCACCTTCTGCTTAATGCAACAATAAAATGTCCCTGACATATCTTTAAAAGAGAATATTTGTAGCTCAGGGTTGACATGAGGGGTCCTTGGTACTCTCAGCTTGGTTATTTTCTTGCAGATGTTTTATTACCCAAACTGTCCTAGCACTGATGATGTTACCTAGTTTAGGTAATAAAACATCTGCAGGAAAACAAGCAAGCTCAGTGACGTATCTTTGTCTCATCAATGCTTGAACCCATCTCCTCTGCAGGTCATAGATTCTGCTGTCAGCCTGCTCTTTCTGGATATTTAATGGTTAGATTTGCACAACATACTAGATTTGACTAACCGGTAGAAAACCCAGACATTACCACATTAAGGTGTTAAGCTGTAGTATGATTTATTAGTTTGGGATGCAGTACACTAATTGTATTTTCTTAACCTAGCTTAATTTCAAATGCATGACATTTTTAGAATCATTGGGTTTGTTTTGTTTTTTTAGTAGTAGACATTCAGCCAACTTTTTTGGACAAGAGGTATATTTTTTGCAGCCACATGGTAGATGGGGCTAAGTTATCAATGAACGAACTTGAGTCAGGCTATTAGTAGTTCTCAATTTATAAACCACAATTGTGGCTGGGACTTTTGTCACTGAGCTAAGGAATCATTAAGCAAATCATCCTGGTTTTATGGATGTGGCCATTAAGAGAATCACATGGTCATTAAATAAATCTGGCTTCCTGCATTGACTTTGCTTGTCAGAAGCCTCCTGGGAAAATTGTAAATGGTGATGATGTAAACCCAGGACATGGCATCTATCATAAAGAGATGCTGGTTGCCAAGCACTTGAATTCTGATCATAATGGAGGTGCTGTGATAGACTTTTTTCAGCATTGTCATAATTTTGAATAGTTGTTAAACAAATGGTCATAGATTGAGGACTACCTGTAGGTAGGGGAAGCCCTTTTCTCTATGGTATCCTTTTGTTTCTCTTCTTGGCTCCCTCCTCTGTGTCCTAACCAGTCGACAAAAAGGATGGGCGCAAATCTAACAAAGATCTGAACTAATTCTCTGGCAAAAAAATTTTTTTTTCTGAAATCAATGCTGGAACTGAATGAAATTAAGCCTAGAGCTAATAATCATTAGACTAACCCTGATTTAGGAAAATGTTTCATACAAACTTCCAAACCTCCAGGCATTCCTATTTGTCATCTGGAACTTTAGTGTTAGCCCGTAACAGGTGGAGATATTTTTAAGAATTGTATCAACCTTAATTTCTAAATGCCATCTCATTCATATCTTTCTTTTTTCCATGCAGGCCGTTTGCAGACGTAGGTCCTGAGGCCAAACCACCAGGTAAGGTGAAAAATAAACATAGGAGATTTTTAAAAAAAAAAGATATTTATTTTTAAAGAGAATTTGTCCCCCAGTTCATAACCATACATAAGGAGCTTTGG